TTGGAGTCTTCATAAGATAAATTCAGGTTTATGGACTTCAATAAGTGAGATGTACGTTTTTATGAAATTAATGAGTCACGGGGTTTAGGATATTCCTACTAAAGATCACCTAATGGGATGACAAGTCGCTTTGGACCTTGGTGGAGAGGACCAAGTTCTAAAGCAGTACGTGGTTATCAGGACCATGAAACTGTGTTGTAACCTATCCTTTGGTCAGGGCATGCATTCTCACAAGGTGTAGGACGTTAAACTGTCGAGATAGTCTAGTGAACCCTAGGGTTGAGAATAGCAAGAAAAAAAAATAAAGAGCTATGGCTAGGCCTTCGTTGTCTGAAGGAAGAAAGTCCAGATGGGCGATAGTGAGAACCAACATTTGTGTTAGGTTATCTAGATTACAAAGAGTAAAACTCCAGTTTCACCCATGAGTGTAATGCCAGACTTGTGAAGCATTGTCAAGTAGAGGTGGAACTTCCAAATAACGTGATTTTGGAAATTACCTGAAGGATAGTGACGTGGTGACTTGTAAACAAGTAAGACTAGCAGAGACATGATATGTCTTAGAGAAGACACTAGACGTAGCACCCTCGAAGTTGGAGGGAGGTTAGCTACCATACAAGAGTTTTCAGAGAGTTCCCTAATATCTAGTACAAGAACTTGGAAAGGTTCACGTGCTCGAAAAAGAGCCAGTGATGAGATATCACTATGAGAGAAAATGTGTCTAGCTCAATTATAAAAGATACGATAGGGGGTTAACCTAGGTGAACGTAGAGAACTTATGTAAGGATCTTTACTTCCAAAAGAATCCGTACTTGGCCTAGATGAGTATTAGTACTCAAGCGAGTTACGTAATAGGACGTCTCGCTAAGAAGAAAGTTGGGCAAATGAGATGACACTACGAGGCTATTTTGGAGTAGTAAAGATCGTCTTGATAAGGTAAGGATGTCACCAGACGTGAATTAGAGAAGAATACATACGTAAAGAAACCTTTAGAAGCCACAATGAACATTATGAGTTCATAGTCATGTCTTTGGGTTTAATTAATGCTCTCATAATATTCATGGAGTTGATAAACAAATGAGGAATTCTGGATTATGTTCATTAACAACATCCTGGAGTGTTCTAAGTCTGAAGTGGGGCACGAGGAACACTTGAGGAAAGTTTTAATTCTACTTAGAACTTACCTATTATATGCTAGATTCACTAAGTACGAATTATGACTGCAAGAGGTGGCCTTTCTTGGACACATGGTATCCAGGCAGGGAATAGCTGTGGACCCTGCTAAGACCAAAGCAAAGCATGAAGATCGCTTGCAAATGGTTTTGACTTTTTTGAGAATGCCTCTAGTGTATATCAACTTTTCTAAGTGTGAATT